CCCCAAAACCCCAAAACCCCAAAACCCCAAAACCCCTTAGAGGAGACAACAGATTGAGATGTGAATAATCTAGCTTATAGATTAGTCCATTTAGCTTCATTAATAAATTTATTTGATTTGGTTGAACAAACCAAGAGGTTCTTCGTCCACAAATTGGTATTGTGGATATTTTATGTTGATGTCATTCACCTTCAGCTCTCTCTCTACCCTGAACGCAAGGTCCACAAAGTAGGTATTGAAATATTCTATCATCCTTGACTTTTTAATGGAAGACTCTTTGGAGACTTCTGATGACCACTTGAGTTTGGGGGAAATTTTGTTGGAGTTCACATCAAAATTCACGGATATGAATAAAGCCACACAAGCGATTTCAGATGGAGTCAAGTTGTAGACTATGTCGTAGTCGTAGAGGGCAAGTTCTATTACATATTTTGCAAGTGGAGCCGCATTTTGGTAGACCACTGAGATAGAGGAAAATCTTTCCAAAAATCTAAATGGAGTAGGCACAGTAATCTCAAACACTAGTTGTTTCAGAATTTTGAACTCCCAGTTCAAGATTTCTTTTCTAGTTGCTGGCCTTCCCATCATCGTAATCATTTCGTCCAAAGCTGGGGGATAAATATCTTCATATTTAGAAGCAATGAGAAGAGCTGCAACTCCAATAGCTTCAATATCTCTGGCTCTTCTGAGAGGTTCTTTTCTAAATCCCAGGTATCTATCAATTGTTGAAATTGCAACAAAAAGAGTTTCTGATACTAGTCCATACTTCCTATGAATCTCAAATACAAGATCAACTGCAATCGCCCGGTCTTGTCTAGTGAGCTTATGCTTCTTAGAGTTTCTCTTGAATGGAGACTCATCCAAATAATTCTTACTGATTCTAAATTTCTCTTCCTGATCTTTCATCCATTGAATTCATTTGCCTGCGTACTCACCAACCAGCTCAGGAGTCCTGAAGTTGATTACATCTTGGAACGAGATTTCTTTGTTGATAGCTTTTCTTCTCAATTTGAGCTCTTGTTTGAGTGCTTCTTTGAGCTCATCTCCTTCCAATTTTGACAAGTCTTTGCCTCCTTTGTAATGCGATGGAACTTCCTCTTCTCTCTTCTATGAAGTTGTTTAGACTGAGTTATTTCATAAAACTTACTCATCTCAGAGTGATAGAGGTTCCAGCATGTAGATCTGTCATTCTGTGTGTTTTTGGAGAAGTTTTAGGGAGATTTGACTCGTACAGATTGTCTTTCACAACACAGGGAGATTTTTCATCAATCTCTCACTCACTGCTAGCTCCAGTGTTATTAGTGATCTCAGTACCAAACTCTCTGCCCTTGCTCACTGCATCACCATCTAGGGTAGCACCCTTCTTGATGGTAATAAACATGTTGTTCTCCTTATTGATCTTAGTCTTAACTTGCATTTTGCTAAATTTGCAAACAATTATTTAAAATAAATTTTATCTAACTGATATTTATTTCTCAATTGATCGTTAAAGGCTCGGGGTTTTGGGGTTTTGGGGTTTTGGGGTTTTGGGG